AGATAGATAGATAGATAGATAGATAGATAGATAGATAGATAGATAGATAGATAGACAAGAGAAAGTTGTTTTAGTAGAGGTTTTGCAGCTCTCGCAACTGTATAAGGAGACAAGAGAAAGACGACTGCGAGATTCACTGAAAGAAGAAATAAAGTTGTTGACTGAAAAAGTGACTGAAAGAGTTATATATTACCAAAAAAGATGCGGAAAGGCCAAAAAAAAAGAGAGAAAAAAAGAGAAAGAATATCATAGACGAAAAGGAGAGGAAAAGAGAAGCGGTGAGAGACAATGGAGAAAGGGGATGGGATGGGGGGAGATGGAGATAGGGGGTAAACGGGGAGAGACAGACAGACAGACAGACAGACAGACAGACAGACAGACAGACAGACAGACAGACAGACAGACAGACAGACAGACAGACAGAGTTGTGGAAGATTGTCAAATTCACAACACATTAACACATGTCGTGTGTTCTTTCAAAAATACTCACAAAAAAAATTGTTCAAACACACTCATTGTGAGCTTATTTAGCTCGCTATGGACACACTGCTTCACTCGTCCACGTTCCTCCTTCTATCCTTCTTCTACCTGTTCTAATATTCTCCACCGTGTCGAGTACAAATCTACTATGTACTCTGGGGGGGGGGGGGTTTAATCACCGATTAGTTAGAGAAACAACCGAAGCTTGCCTGTAAGGTTATGATTGTTTCTATTAATGTTCATAATGGGTAACAGGGAAAGATCGGGGAAACGTAGCTTTTTTTAGAGCATCCGAGCAAAGGAATGAATGGAAAACCATGATCACCGATGTCTGTCGCAGATCTGGCACTGGATGATGATGATGATGATGATGATGATGATGATGATGATGATGATGATGATGATGATGATGATGAGGACGTTGAATTTAAGTACAAAGCTACTGTGTACTCTGAATTTGAAAAAAAATCATCTTGATCTAGGCCTACAATGTATTAATAAGAGATACGACCGAAGCTTACTTGTAATGGGATGATTGTTTCTAACAATCTTTGTCATGAAGTTGAATTCATCCCCATTTTTTTACTTTTTTTTCTCTCTCCAGCTATTTGTACAGCGGTAGTACTGACGTCACCGCAGACAATGTGATTCCCCTGCTGTATGCAGCCAAGAAGTACGCAGTGGCTGGCCTCATCAACAAGTGTATCGCCTTCGTGGAAAACCATCTTGATGCTCAGAATGCTTGTGCTGTCATGGAACAGGTTCTTGGGCATCTTCATTGATAGTGGTTGTGGTAGTGGTTGTGGTAGTGGAAGTGGTAGTGGTAGTGGTAGTGGTTGTGGTAGTGGTAGTGGTAATGATAGTGGCAGTGGTGGTGGTAGTGGTAGTGGTTGTAGTTATGGGCGGTTCTTTCACTAGACAAGACCTGCGCGCGGACAATTTTTGTCGGCTGTACAGTAGACAACAGATTGATTGCTGATAACGATTTTCATTTAGTTTTAAGTAAATAAACATTTAATATTATTTATCAACGTTAAAAAAACACTCTGTCAGTTTGAAGGCGCTCAAAGAGACAATGGGGGTTCGCTAGCGTGTTCTCCCACTGCAGAGGCTCGTTCCTTCATCATTGTTTATCGAGCCGGCTGGTAACTTGCATCATGTAAATCGCTTTCTGTCACGATGTGGAAGTTGTCTACGCGAGTCTCCACCAAAAACAGCCCGCTCAGTGGTGAGGTTAGCCTTTCCGGCAAGTTTCCGGCGAATTCAGCTTTTGCCCAGAAAGCGCAAAGACGGCTTCTAATTGCCACTTGGACTCTCTGTTACTTACAAAGAAAGGAATTGTCTGCAGTACAAATAGGCTTACTTATCATTTTACATTATTTCATCAGTGAGATTTGTCAGTCAACCTGTCTCTTTTAGCTGCCTATTGTCAGCATATGTAGCATAGGTCTAACGTTTCCCTGTGAATTTTAAGCCTGCCGTGGTTATGTTTGGCATTCTATCCGTCGTCTACTTCCCGGAGTTACCTTCTCCGAGCAGGCGACAAGGCGAACCACCAAGTTAGTATATTATAGAGTATAGAGGGAACTTAATCGAGGAGAGAGAAGCCCCTCGTTTATTCAGGTGTCAGAGTGTGGGCCTAAAACAATACAGCCCCTCTCCACATTCCCGTCTTCACCTTAGCTAGACTCTAATTTCTATAATTGGCATTTGACACAGTTCCCCACTTAGAACCTAGGAACTGAGAAATGCAATGAAGAGAAAAACGTTTGAATACGATCAGACATTGTTGTGTGCTAAATTTGTTCAATGTGTGGGTGTGTTTAGCACAATACATGAAATCTGATGCTAGACTTCATCTGCATGGGACAGCGTCACTGGTAAGGTGTCTCTCTCTCTGTCTGTCTGTCTCTCTCTCTCTCTCTCTCTCTCTCTCTCTCTCTC